CATTATAGCTGTCCTAATGGGTGTGAAGTGGTAGCTCATGTGTCTCTGATTTGCATTTGTAGCCATTTATAGATCTTTAAATGACTTCAAGTCCTTTGCCTCCTTTTAAATTGGGTTGTCTGTCACTTTGTCTGCCTGTGGAAGAGGTAGCTGTAGGTTCTAGCTCTGGTGAGTTCTAAGTGTTTCCTCCATTCCAGGGGCTTACACTTGCCTGTGTTCTTCCTTTCGGTTTTTCTTTGGTTTTATTTATTTATTTATTTATTTATTTATTTATTTATTTATTTATAGGCGGAGTTTTACCATGTGTTTTTGACTGGCATGGAACTCTATGTGTAGACAAGGTTAGCCCTGGATTCACAGACATTTGCCTGCCTCTGCCTTTTGAGTGCCGGGATTAAAAAAAGCATGTGCCACCATGCACAGCCCTTGTTTTTTAATTTTTAGAAAACCCAGGTTAGGTTCCTAGCACTCACATGGTGCCTTACAACCATCTGTAACTCCAATTCTAGGGGATCTGGTGCCCTCTTCTGAACTCCTTGAGGATCAGGCAAACATATGGTGCACAGACATACAGGCAGGCAAAACACTCATACACATAAACTAAGTAATTCTAACAAAAAAAAGAGTCAACTGTTACAAAAGGAGCTAGATATTATTGTGATTCACTTTTCACAATATAAAAAGTCTACAATTGAGCTACATAGTTTAAATAATATTATTGTTCATAATAGATGCATTTGAAACTTTATATGTCTCTTACCAAGAAATATATTAGCCCCTTTTTCACTAAGACTCGCTGGGACTCATGTGGTTATGAACAGATGAACCAACTTGAGGATTTTTCTGATCTTGCATAATATAAACAATAGAAAATATAAGAAATAGAAGACAGATTTTACCCCTCCAAGAACTGGTGAGACAGCTCCTCAGGCAAAGGTGCCTGGACCAGACCTGAGCTGGATCCCTGGCACCCAAGAACTAAATCCCATGGAAGTGCTCTGACTTGCACACCTACTAGGTAGCATGCACCCACACACATACATACTAGTGAGCACATGCACTGTACACACACACACACACACACACACAAGTGTAATAAAACAGTTTCACTGTGTCATAAGCTCTGCTAACTTCTCTTTCAATTTTTTTTTTCTTGGTATAGTAGCACACACATGTTATCTCAACTTTCTGGAGGAAAAACAGAAGCAGGAATTCCAGGTCAGCCTAAGCTACAGGAAGGAAACTTTTTCAAAAAAAAAAAAAAAAAAAAAAAAATAAATAAAATAACAGAACAAAAGAAATGACATGGAGTGCAGAAGGTAGAACTTTGGCTAAAGAGCACTTACTGCTCTTGCAGAGGACTTGGGTTTTGATTCCTACCGTCAAGTTGGGTGACTGACTACTGCTTATAACTCCAGCTCCA